AAAGGGGCAAAGGGGCAAGGGGGCAAGGGGGCAAGGGGGCAAGGGGGCAAGGGGGCAAGGGGGCAAGGGGGCAAGGGGGCAAGGGGGCAAGAGGGCGCAAGGGGGCGAGGGCAAAAAAGGGGGCAGGGGGCAAGGGGGCAAGGGGGGGCAAGGGGGCAAGGGGGCAAGGGGGCAAGGGGGCAAGGGGGCAAGGGGGCAAAGGAGGGCAGCGCAGCAAAGGAGAGCAGGAGAAGTAGAGGAGAGCAGCAGCAGAGGGAGGAGAGCGGCAAAGGAGAGCAGCGGAGAAGCATAGAGTAGCGCCGGAGAGCACGGGAGAGCGCTGGAGCGCGGGACCGCGGGAGAGCCTGCAGGAGAGCGCGCAGGAGAGCAAAGGAGAGCGCAGGAGAGCACAGGAGCAAAAGGGAGAGCGCAGGAGAGCGCAGGAGAAAAAAGGAGCAAGAAGGGCAAGCAAGCCAGGAAGAAAGGAAGTCTGGAAGAAACAAAGCAATTAAGCGAGAGAGAAAGGAAGAAACACTGAAACAATGAAGCTATGAAACAATGAAACAATGAAACCAAGACACAAAGACACCAAGACACAGAGACACAAGGACACGAGGACACAAAGAAACAAAGAACCAAAGACGCAGAGACACAAAGACACAAGACACAAAGACACAAGCGCGCAAAGAAACAATGAATCAAAGACACAAAGTTGCAAAGACACAAAGACACAAAGACACAAAGACACAAAGACACAAAGACGCAAAGACACAAAGAAGCAAAGCAGCAAAGAAGGAAACAAAGAAGCGACAAAACAAAGAAGCAACGCAGCAAAGAATCAAGAAAGCAAATAAGCAAAGACGCGAAGAAACAAGGCAGCCAAGAAGCAAAGAAGTAGCGAAGCAAAGAAGCAAAGACGCAAAGAAGCAAAGAAGCAAAGAAGCAAGGAAGCAGGGAAGCAAGGAAGCAAAGAAGCCAAGAAGCCAAGAAGCAAAGAAGCAAAGAAGCGTAGACGCAAAGAAGCAAAGACGCAAAGAAGCGATGAAACAAAGAAGCAAAGAAGCAGCAAAGAAGCAAAGAAGCCAACATGCAAAGAGGCAAAGAAGCAAAGAAGCAAGGAAGCAAGGAAGCAAGGAAGCAAAGAAGCCAAGAAGCCAAGAAGCAAAGAAGCAAAGAAGCATAGACGCAAAGAAGCAAAGACGCAAAGAAGCGATGGAGCAAAGAAGCAAAGAAGCAGCAAAGAAGCAAAGAAGCCAACATGCAAAGAGGCAAAGAAGCAAAGAAGCAAGGAAGCAAGGAAGCAAGGAAGGAGGGAAGCAAAGAAGCAAAGAAGCCAAGGAGCAAGGAAGCAAGCAAGCAAGCAAGCAAGCAAGCAAGCAAGCAAGCAAGCAAGCAAGCAAGCAAGCAAGCAAGCAAGCAAGCAAGCAAGCAAGCAAGCAAGCAAGCAAGCAAGTACGCAAACAAGCAAACAAGCAAAGAAGCAAACAAACAAACAAACAAACAAACAAACAAACAAACAAACAAACAAGCAAACAAACAAGTAAGAAGGGAAACAAACACACAAAAAACACAAAACAAAGAAACGCAAGCAACCACAAACAAACGCAACCAAGCACAAACCGTCATACAGACAAACACCCACACAAGCAAACAAGAAGCAAACGAACAAAAACAAACAAACAAACGAACAAACAAACAACCAAACGCAAAAACAGAAAACAACGTAACCAACAAACCAACGAACAAACAAACAGACAAAGAGTCAAAGAGTTCAACCAAGCAAAGAAACAATGACACAAGACACAGAGACACAAAGACACAAAGAAACAAAGACGCAAGGAAACTTTGACACAAAGAAGCACAGAGAAACAAAGAAACAAAACAGTTAAACGAAGAAACAAAGAAACAAAGACACAAAGAAAGAGAGAAACAGAAAAACACATCAACATTCCAAGAGGGAAGCGCAGCAAAGAAACAAAGAAGCGCAGAAGCAGTCAATCAAACCAACAAACAAACGAGGAAGTGAGCCATCCAAACAAACAAACACGCAAACAAACCGACGAACAAACCAACGAACTCACACACAAACAAAGAAACAGACAACCAAACGCTTAGCAAGCAAGCAAGCAAGCAAGCAAACACGCAAGCAAACCAAAATGCAGGCAAACCAACAACCAACCAAACAAACAATCAAACAGTCAATCAAACAAACAAACAATCAATCAAACAAGCAAACAAACAGACAATCGAACAAACAAACGAACAAACAAACCATCAATCAATCAATCAATCAATCAATCAAGTCAATCAACCAACCAATCGCTCAATCAATCAGACAACCAAACAAACAAACAATCACGCGAGCAAACAAACAAAGAAGCAAGCAAACAGTCAATAGCACACAAGAACAAACAAAAAGCAATCAAGAGGAAAACTAACAGCAAACAAAACACCCAAGAACAAACAACAAACAACAAACGCGAAAAAAACAACAACAACCAATAGCAAACACAAACGCGCGCACACACGAATACAAAACAATCAAACACATACAAAACAAGCAAAACAAGAACAAGCAAAGGCAAACAGACACAAACACGCGCACACATAACGGTCAAAATCAGTCAGACATGAACAAACACAATCACACATGAACAACACGAACAAGAACTATCAAACACGCAAACACGAACGAACATTGAGCAACAACCAAGCAAGCAAGCGAACAAACAAACAAACAAACAAGCAAGCAAGCAAGCAAAAAACACAAATTCAACCAAACGACCGAACGAACAAACAACCAAACAAACAAGCGAGCAAGCAGCAAACAAACAAACACACAGTTAGGCGAACGAGCGAGCTAACAAACCAACAAACCAACAAACCAACAAACAAACAAGCGACAGCAAGCGAACAAAACAAGGGAGCGAACGAACGAACAAACGAACAAACGAACCAACCAACCAACCAACCAACCAACCAACAAACAAACAAACACACAAACAAACAAACAAACAATCCAACAATCAAACCAACAATCAAACAAGCAAACAAACCAACAAACAAACCAACAAACCAACAAACCAACAAACCAACAAGCCAACAAACAAACAAACAAACAAACAATCAAACAAAAAACAAGAACACACAAACAAGGAATACACAACCAAACGAAGAAACAAGCAAGCGAGCGAGCGGGCGAGCGATCAAGCAAGGAAGCAAGCAAGCAGACGGACAGACAGACACAGAGAGAGAGAGAGAGCGAACGCACGAGCAGACCAACGAGCAATTAAATGAAGAGCAAACGCAAAAATCCGCAGGCGTACACATGCGCAGACAAATGCAGGCGAGCAAGCGCCAAGCAAAAGACACAAACGCGCTCGCGCCAACACACCCACTTAGAGAGCGAGGATGGCTCGCAGTCAGATCGTGCTCGACACGAGTCCAGAAATGCGAAAACCGAATCATGCGGCCGCCCAAGAATCAGCAAGTCACACCGCAACAAGAGGTCAAAAGTTTCGGCAGGAAAACATGGCAGGTACGTCCAGCGGGCCAAGCTGACTACCCCACTTCACTGGTAGCCTCGTTGGACAGTCCCAGGGGAGTGCTGTGTCTCCCTGCACTCATGCAGGGATCAAACCGATTTGCGTGCGTCGTCCAGCACGGTGCGCGCACACAGACACGCGCGCAACTACACACAAACACAGACACACGCACAAACACAGAAACACAGGAACACAAACGCACACACACACACATTCACAACAAACCACACACGCACAAACGGACAAACTCGCAACCGCACAAACACACAAACACACAAAAGTGCAAATGCACAAGCGCGCAAACACACAAACGCACACACACTTAAACTACACACGTGCACAAACTCGCAGCGCAACAACACAAGAAAAAGCGACGTGCGCCAAGACAGAACGAGAACCAACACACACACACACACGCACAAACGGACAGACAAAACAGAACACGCCAGCAAACAAACACGCAACTAAACACGCCAACAAGCATGCGCAACGAACCAACAAGCAAATACGAAAACAACAGACAAACAAACTCACAAATGATCAAGCAAACACGCAACCAAGCAACCGACCACGCAACCAGGTAGCTAGTCAAATAAACAGACAAACAAACAAACAAACAAGCAAGCACATACACACTAATATACAAACACACAAACACACACACACAGACCCGCAAACCCACAGTCACACAAACACACACACACACAAACACACAAACGCACGAAAAAGTTAGTCATGCGCAAACCAACCAGTCAGGCAACCGCCCGACCAAACAAACAACCGAACAATCAGGCAGGCAGGCAGGCAGTCAGGCAGGCGCGCAGGCAGGCAGGCACAGACTCACAAGCACACAAGCAAACAAACAAAGAAGCAAACAAACAAGCAAGCAATCGCACAAAGCGCAACACCACGCAGCGCAAAACAGAACAAAACACCCAAACAAGCACACACACAAAAGCACAAGCGGAAAAACACAATCTCATAAGCGTGCAAACATACAACAAGACATCTACAAGTGCGAGCGACAGACCAACACACACACAGCGCACAAAACGCAAAAACGCACACACACACACACACACAGAACAACAACAGCAACAACGAGAACAACCAAAGTAACAAGCGCGCAAGCAAAAGCAACCAAACTAACAAGCAAGCAAGCAAGCGAGCAAGCGTACATACAAAAAACACTCAGGCAGGCAAGCAAGCAAGCAAGCAAGCAAGCAAGCGAGCGAGCGAGCGAGCGAGCAAGCGAGCAAGGCAGCGACAACAACCAACCAACCAGCGTCAAACAAACAAGCAAGGGAACAAACCAACCAACCAATAGGCACGTGAATTGCTTGCGTCGTCCGGACGTTTTGTCTCAGCGTTGGCGCACCAAAAGTCGTTTTTTGGCAAGCTGCTGCCATGTCTCGGCTCGGGCCTGTGTTTCCACGCGTGGTTTTGCGCGCTTGTGGCCTGAGCTTCTGCACCCAGGAGAAGACGTCGCGCTCTCCCATGAAGGCCCTAGTCCTCTCCTCAGACAGCTGTTTGAACTAAGCGTTGCGTTGGTTGCCTGGGTAATGCGCTTCTCTCCGGTCATAGGTCTTCTTCTGCTTTGCCTTCATGTATTATTGGGGTTCGCTTCTTGGCTGGCTCTGCAAATGTGATGCGCGTCCCCAGAAGCAAGTTGTTGCAGAACAGTGCCCCACAGGTCCAAACATGGGTCTCCATTTTGCAGCGCCCCAGGATTGTCAGCATTGACACAGCCTTCACATCTTGCTCTGGCGTCTTTGGTCGTTGGTACTTTCAAAAGGACTGGACGGGGAAGACGTTGCGACTGCAGGGTTGTTTCATCCTTGCAGCAAGTCATCCTACGGTGTGGGTCGGCCGCAAGACACAGCTGTGGAAATCTTCTATTCTTCTATTCCGTTCTTTCTTTCTTTCTTTCTTTCATTCTTTCTTTCTTTCTTTCCTTCCTTCCTTCTTTCTTTCTTTCTTTCTTTCTTTCTTTCTTTCTTTCCTTCCTTCCTTCCTTCCTTCCTTCTTTCTTTCTTTCTTTCTTTCTTTCTTTCTTTCTTTCTTTCTTTCTTTCTTTGTTTCTTTGTGTTAAAACCCTCCTGGCCCCGTGCCTAAATTGGGGAGCCGTTCTGAGGTCCATGTTCTTGTTGATTGGAACGTCCCTTTGGTTGCCACATTTGGCTCAAGTTGCAAGTAGGGCTCAAGGTCTTACATGAACTACGTTCGCCTGTGATCGATCAGTGAGAGAGAAAACAGGTTCATTCGCGCTGCTGATATAGAGTGTGCATTTGTGGTTATTGGGCTTTACCCCTTACAACAGTTTGCACTGGTTTGGCTAGAACGGTTTGGCCGTATACCCTTTCTACGTGGTTGAGTACACACAGCTGGAGGCTCGGTGGACAGCGTCCCACGGGACGTCACCTTGCCATCTCTTGACAGGTTATCAGCCGTATCACAAGCTCTACACTGGACGGAGAGACAGCTGGTTTATTGCGGGTACAGGAACTGCAGAAGAACCCTAACCCACACAGTACAATGGAATCTTCATCGAGCCCAAGTACTGCAACTTTTTGGAATGACAGTTCGGAGGGATCCAATGGACTGATGGCTCTTCCTGCAGTCATGGGTATGGTTGCCGATTCGCAGGATGAACTTGGAAGCGGTGGATCCGCGCTATTCAGCGACATATCCACGCCAACAAGATCATGGAAGCAAGTCGCTATTCATCAGGAATCGAAACAGAGAGATTCTCCGCCGAGGAGATCATCATCTTCACCGGCGACCCCACGGGCGTCGCAAAAGAGCGTGCGCTCGACATCGAAAGGTGGGAGATCTAAATCACCCACGAGCGCCGAGTTTCGCGCGGCGATCAAAGAAAAGAACAAGATGGAGATGGAGATCGGGGAGTATCAGAAGACGATTGATGAAATGTCGGCGGCCATGGCGAATCTTCATCAAGAGGAGTATGGAAGCACCGTCCGGATCCAAGAACTGGAGAGACGATGCGAGATTGCCAGTAAGCAATCGGGGCATCTCGTGAGTCATCACCAACACCACATCACAGAAGCCTGGCGCAAGTTTGAGGCGGAAGCCCAACAGATGCGTGAGGCGGAAATGAACGCATATCAATACGGGGAGAAGAAAGACATGGAGTCGAATGTAATGATGCAACAGATGAGACAAGCTGAGGGAATGATCATGGAGCAGAAGCGGGAGATTGCAGTGATGAGACCCTACATGGCAAGCGAGAAGGGAGCTGCACAGGAATCAGCAATGCATGCAAATCAAGTTCACCGTGAAGCTTCAAAGCAGATTTCCGTTTATCAACAGCAGACCAGGGGGATTGAATCGTCAACATCTATTGAGAAGTTCAACGAGGTGGAGATGGTTCAAAGCCTGAAATCACAGTTGGAGCATGCGCTGGTCAAGCGCCCTGAAGTATACTCTCTGGAGGACTCCAGGGAGCAGCGAATGACGAGACTGAATGACGTGACGGCATTTGCAGAACAAGAGTCGAAAAGAGCTGAGCGCCTCCTTCGAGAGAAGGAAGAGATCGTCAAACAGTATGAATCCGACGTGACCCGTGTCAAAGAAAGATCAAATGATTGCTATTGAAGGTGGCCATCGTCAGGATCCAATCTTGTAATTGGCTCAAGTCAGGGCAGCAACACAAGAAGAACGGTGCACGATGGACGAGAAGTCGAAGGAGGCTGAATTCTGGAAATCGACTGCTAAAGGGGTGTATGACGAGTACCTTGAGGAGATGCGCAAACTTCAGGAACAACTGAAGAATCGGGAGGCGATGCTCAAACAAGGTACCGGCGCTGATAGGGACCCGCTGCCGATTGGACACGTTCATTTCTCACCGCGTGCTGAAAACCCAGCGTTTTTTGTTTGTTTGGTCTGTCAAGCGTTAGAAACATGCTCATCTCGTCCCATTTTTACCAGGGTTTCAGCAAACGGAGCACGAATCACCCTGTAACTATGACCTGACCTGCGCTCACTGCGCGACACGCGCGTTTGGATCGTCTCTTTTTCTCCCCCCGTGCTCCTCAAGTTGGCCGCTTCTATATCACTGCGCCGCATTGCGAGCTCTTGCAAGCTTCGCCACAGCAGCTCGCAACGCAGTCCGGTTGTTGTATCGGAAAACAAAACTGTAAATGTATACAGTGCTGAGCGGGTGCACTGGAGCGGGTGTGCTTACCATTTGGCTGGCATGGATACAGTGCTGAGCGGGTGCACTTGAGCGGGTGTGCTTACCATTTGGCTGGCATGGATACAGTGCTGAGCGGGTGCACTTGAGCGGGTGTGCTTACCATTTGGCTGGCATGGATACAGTGCTGAGCGGGTGTGCTTACCATTTGGCTGGCATGGATACAGTGCTGAGCGGGT